ATCGGCTCAAATGACTAAAGAGCCGTCATCCTCGTCAGGACATGGTCAAATCTTGTTAATGGTTGATCGTGGAGAAGATTCAGTTAGTCCATGGTATGTTTCTATATCATATAGATTAAAATAAAAAATATAATATTCATGTAGTTATGTATAATTAAGAAGATTTATCATATGTAGATCCTAACAACTATAATTAATTAAATAGCAATCCAGCAGTTTGAGTTTCCAGTGTTACATATAGGCTCTGTTGAGCCTTTTTATTTATTTTTATATGTTTGATATTTTGCATTGAGTATTTCTTAAATAGTGCAATTGATATTTTCAACATCTATGTATGATTTCCATATAAATTCATTTGGCTAATTGATTTCATTTGTTGGTATGAAATGCAACAAAACGCTTCCAGCGAGTTCAAAGCATACACCGTTTCTAGCAGGTTATTCACTTTATTTATATTATTATTTAGCGGTAAAATACTAGAATTTATCAAAAAATCACTTAATTTGTATTTATTTTTCTAGGTCTATCTAGTGACACATTCAAAAAACACTTGATCAAAATTTGCACCAGGTCCGTTTCATCAGCATTTTTGATATGTTTACAGATTTGTTTAAAAAAATTTCTTTGAGACTTCAAAATTTTCTTGAGCCTATATATTTTAATCCCCTTCGTGGAACTTGTAAGTCATTGTATCATTTTTCTATTTTCAATTTAAAGACACTCACCTCTTGGTAAATGTTTTCAATTTAGAATAATTGTTTTAGGAATGCAAAAAGCTGCCAAAATATCATTTTTATTTATTTATTTATTATTATTGGTAAAATTACTTAGTTTCGGTTTTTTTTAGTGTTAGATTCAAAATGTCGCTTGATCAACATCTATGGCAGGTCAGGTGTCATATTCACCATCACTTTTGGTTTATTTATCAAAAAAAAATTATCAGCACTTTTGGTTTATTTCTAAATAAAATAAATAAATAAATAAATAAAAACTTTCACGTTGTAAGAGAGCTTGAAAATTTATTGTTCCAAGTCATGAATCAATTGATTTGAGCACCATTTCTTTCAGGTCCGCTGTCATTATATAGTTTCACTTATTTGGTTTTATAAATAAAGTTTTGCTGTTTTCAGTTTCATAATAATTGTTTTAGAAAAATCTATTAGCAGGTTCAGAAAGCCAATTGATCAAAATTTGGATGGGCTATGTCAGGTTCAGAAAGCCACTTAAGAAGATTCAGTTAGTGTGAATCTGTAGTTTTACCATACATATACTCAGGTTGACCAAGAAAGTTGCTACAGTTAAAACAACGAGTTCTGAACCCACATCACAAGCTACTGGAACCAATGGTGGTGTCATCACCGGGACAAGGTAATGGTAACAATAGGTGAAGTTTATAATTATGGGTTTGTTTGAATTTGGTTGCAGGCATCAAAGTGTGGCAAAAACTCTAGTATGTTAATTTTTGTTTTTTGGAAATAACATACATACATAAGAATCAGATAGATTATATATGATTTTGCATTTTTTTTGTTTTCAGAAGGAGATATGCCTGATGGGAGCTGGAAGTGTGGTAAATATAACAACATAAACTACCCATTCAGAACGAAATGCAACAGAAAGAAATGTGGTGCTGAAAATGAGAAAATATACATCCAAATGGAACTGTGTGATCAGATTCTTTCCATGATCAACAACTCCAACATATTATATGCAGAGAGTGAAGTGTTGGAAGTAATGCACCATGTTGATTTTTTTAATATTCAATGATATTCATATCATATTACATTATATTACTAAATTATGATTATAATTATGGGTTTGGTTATAGATTGCCAAGGCATTACAATGTATTAAAGTTCTTTTAACTTTTTTTTTGCTCGGTTATTTTCGGGTTGCTTCTTAAAATTGAAAGATGCAATATCAGAACATGGATATTTCTGGTCTAAAGTAGTTGCATGTGTTCCTCCACGAACCTATACTCAATCCTCCATTGCTTCTATACAAGTAAGTATTCCACTCCCTCATCTTTTACATTGTTTTAGTTGAAGGTTAAAAGTTGGTTTTAGTTGCTCATTCCAAAATCCCAATAAATTTATTGGGATTTGTTGGTTTATGTGAATCTAATGATTCCATTATTCAAATTTGTAGGTCTTGTTGATGTGCACAGTGTCAAGTAAAGTAGCTCGGATGTTGTGAAGGTAGGCAACAAGTTATTGTAGTTCGACTATTATTTGTTGATGACTTTCATCTCTTTCACATTTGATGTATTACATTTGTCTACTATTGGAATGATTATTTGTATGATATTAAATTTTGTGCAATGGATTGTATTTTTTGTATATGTTATTTTATTTTCTATTATGAGACATTAAATGCAAATTTAATTTGAAAATTAGTAAATCTATAAATATTGTTTTTAAACATTTAAATTTACGTTACGCAAAAATGTATGTCATATTCATTTATGACATGGCCTTTCTTGACAGGGGCTTTAATGATACGCATTACGTCTCGTAAATGTGTGTCGTAAATACGATTCGTAAAGTTACGATACGCAAATGCGTGTCGTCTTCCTTTATGACATGGTCTCCCTTGCCATGCATTTGCATGTCATTTGTACCCTTTTATGACACGCAATGCGTGTCATTAAAGGGTATTTTTCTAGTAGTGCAAGTTTGAAGAGTTTGTTCCTCCTGGTGAAGACAATGAAGATAGGATCGGAAATTTCCTCGCCTTGCCCGAGATTGACAGAACGTTCAAGCTCGACCATCCTAGCCACCAAGAAAGCTCAACTGCCATTATCCCCATGGCTACCAGTAAGGATCCTAAATTTTATTTTATTTCATATGAAGATTCCTGAACTGACAAAACTTTTTTGTTATGCTTAGGATCCAAATCTACTCGTTCTAGTGCACGTTTTACCCTTGCCAACCTTGATTCTGCTATGTCCATCGACCAATTGGCAGATAAGAAAGAAAATTTTTCTCTCTTCTTTCCAAGAAAGCTCCCATAGATTTGACTATCAAAACTTCGGGATTCCGAAAAAAGAAATCAACTAAAGTTTTTAACCTGGAGAAACTCAGGGTGGACGAAGAAATTAAGAAGTTTCTCTCATTCTCTCAATCTGTAAGTATCATTGTAGTTTCTTATATCTGGCACCAGTTTTCTCATTGTTGCTTACAGGTGACTGATCATATCTCACATTCCTCTAAGGATCTCCAAGCTAAGCTCAACCGGATCAAAAATGTAATAAAAAACTAAACACAATATTTAGTGTGGTTCGGTCAAAATGACTTACATCTACTGGCCAACGAGAGATAATGAGCGAGATATATATATATATATATATATATATATATATATATATATATATATATATGATTTTATTCAACTTCCAAGAACAATTACAATCACTCACCAAGGTTGCACCTCACTTGAGCTCTCAAAATAAAAGAATTTCTCTTGCTTACAAATTATTCCAAAGGATGTGCTCTCAACCTCACAATGATTTGCTATGTTGAAACTTTTACGCAAAATGTTCATGGAGATGTGTGCTTATTTATAGAAATACATGGAACCTTAATTCTGATAGGTCAAACTCATTCATAATTAGCCATGAAGGGAATGCCCTAATTTCCAGTCAATCACAAAACACCATACAATTGCTTCTAAAAACTTTAACCTTGGAGGATTTACATGACCACCTACCATACATCATAGCATGTTCAACAACTCCCCAAAAGATCCATGCCAACGTATTCTCAACCCCAACAACACATTATGATTCATGCAACGCCTTTCACCGGCCATAAGAGCTTTCTCTGACCATGAAAGCTTTATGTCATGACAGAGAGATTTCTCTCATTATAAGAATTTTCTGTCACCAAATAACTTTCTCTGGCCATAAGAGTTTTTTTGTCAAAACTTCATTCCCCAACATCTTAACACTATAAATAATTTATTAACCAATTTTGATATTGCCTTAGTAAGAAAATATACCTAAATGTTACATTTAAAAAAAATGATGATAACACTTTATTTCACAAGTCAATAAATATATTTACGGCTATCGTGCTAAGTAACTTATATATTGTTTAAGATACTTAAATAATAATAATAATAATAATAATAATAATAATAATAATAAGAGAAATTAAATATCCTTCTATTTTTTATTCCTACAAATCCTCCTACCAAATTAAATAATGACATATGTAACATTTAATGTTCATTTAATGATATATTTTAATATATTAATATGACACATGTCATCATTTAATTGGGTAGGAAGATTTTATTGAACAAAAGTAGGAGGATATTTAATTTGTCTAATAATAATAATAATAATAATAATAATAATAATAATAATAATAAGTTTTACATCATGGTAATAAAATAATTTGTTTCGTTGACGCAATTTACCCAAGATATAACACATTAAATAAGAGGGTAATTAAGATGAATCGTAAAAACTAAAAAATGTTTCAAAAATGTGAATAGGAGAATTTGAATAGGGGCCCACGTGAAAAAGGTCAACTAAAACCGCCATCAACATCTCAAAACCTGATTTCCTTTTCATGTGAAAGAAGCCATCTTTTTCGCTATTGAAGCCTCCTTTTCTAATATTTGTTTTCTGCTATTAATAAACAAATAGTACTTGTTAAAATCCTATGAATGCAACCCCAATAAGATATTTTAAAAAAAAATGTAAACAAAAACAATAAAACCATCTTTTTGTTGGTTGTCACAGAAAACATGGGTGAGGAATTTTGGAGTTTTCTTAATTTTAGTAATCCACACTTGTTTTTATCTCACAAAAGGAGTTGATTCATGGCGATACCCTTCTCTCTCTATTATTTACATATTTTCCTATTTTAATCTATATTTATGTAATTATAAATTCGTGTATAAATGCATATACATCATTATACCTATGTTATGCTAATTCTGTTCAGTTTCTAATTAATCGGTGAGAAGTGTGTGTGAAGCGAAGACTGAAAATGGACCATCATGAGCATGAGGAGGAGGAGGAGGAGGAGGAGGAGGAGGAGGAGGAGACTGTGACGCCGGTTGCAAATTCTGGGAGGAGGAACGGAGGAAGTGAAAGATTCCGGTACATGGAGTGCTTGAAGAACCAGGCATTCAGCATTGGCAGAGAGGCTCGGGACGGATGTGGAGAGTTCATGCCGGCCGGTGATGAAGGCACCTTGGAGGCTATGATTTGCGCCGCTTGCACCTGTCACCGGAACTTCCACCGAAAAGTACTTGAGGTGCAACCGCAGCACTACCAGGCTCCGTTTCACCACCACCAGATGGCACCGCCGCCGTTTTATTGCCACCACAACCCTGCTGGATACCTGAATGTGATGAGATCTCCGCCGTCTCACCACCTGCAGCGTCCGCTTGCTCTACTGCCTACATCAAGGAATGATGTTGAAGACATATCAAACCCTAGCTCTAGCAGAGTTGGTTCCAAAAAGCGGTTTCGTACGAAATTCACCCAGTATCAGAAGGATCGGATGCTGCCGTTGGCGGAGGCGTTAGGGTGGCGCATTCAGAAAGAAGATGAGGCTGTCGTACAGCAATTCTGCGCTGAAACAGGCATCAGTCGTCAAGTTCTCAAGGTCTGGATGCACAACAACAAGTATACACTCGGTAAAAGGCCATAGTTACTCACAGTTCGATGAAACAGAAGTGATTTCATCTCAAGTTCTAGAGATAAGTTAGGGTGGTTTTCTTTTTCATAAGGTTTACATCGATCATGATCTGAGATTTCTCACTCTAGATCGAACTATATCTAAAATTAGGTAGTTGTGATTAATTCGAAGCTCAGAGATGCTAGAATATTTTAATCAAGACGTAATGATTGTGTGTTGAATTTTCGGAGTTGATAATCGTTGATTGTTGTTTGTTGGCGTATATAGATGTTCATGAAGCTTATTTATTAATCATGTCATTTCACACACATTCACATCGTACTGAACATAAAGATTTAATGCAGTGAGAGAAGATGACGACGTTGATTGTGAATTAGGAAGACGTGTGATACATGCAAAGCTACCATAATTCATATCTGTCACCTGATATTTGCCTCTCTCTCTCTCTCTCTCTCTCTCTCTCTCTCTCTCTCTCTCTCTCTCTCTCTCTCTCTCTCTCTCTCTCTCTCTCTCTCTCTCTCTCTCTCTCTCTCTCTCTCTCTCTCTCTCTCTCAAATACACAGTCAAACAAATATTAATTTGGTGTATACGAGCTTCGTCAACTTGTGTTCGTACTACTGCATGGCGTATTAATGTTTATTAATATAGAAGGTTTTAGTTACCGACAAAAGAGACAATTGTGGCCTGGCACTTGGCACGACGATTGTAAGGTTTTAGGTTTGAGCATTATTAATAACAACTTCGAAGCCAAAGTTTAACCAACCAAATAGCTACAAATTTATAAAAGATAAGCGATATGGATACATGCTTACCGACGGAGTGTTATAAAAGATAAGCGATATGGATACATGTTTACCGACGGAATGTTGGTGATTTTATGTGACTAGTGTTTTTTAATTGTGATTGGTGGTGAATCTGGTGGTTAGCACAACTTAGACGGCTTTTATTAAAAATAGACACATACTCGATGGGCCTCTTATTCTAAACGAAATAATCACTTGGATAAAAAAGAATAAAAAGAAGTCATTCAATTTTAAAGTGGATTTCGAGAAGGCTTTTGATAGTCTTAGTTGGGAGTACCTAGACTCAATCTTTCAACAAATGGACTTTGGGGTTAAATGGCGAACATGGATCCAAGGATGCTTATCGTCAGTAAGGATCTTGGTGCTTATAAATGGTTCTGGAGCCTCGGAATTTTGTATGGGGCGTAGGTTAAGACAAGGTGACCCACTATCCCCATTCTTATTTATCATCGCAGTTGAAGGTCTTCATATTGCAATGGAAACGGCAAAGGAAAGGGTATATTTGAAGGCATCCAACTACCCCAACAAGGACCAGTCATATCACATCTACAATATGCAGATGATGTAATTTTCACGGGTACTTGGTCGATTGAAAATGCAAAGAACCTGATCAGAATCCTGAGATGTTTTGAGCTATCATCGGGACTCAAGATAAATATGTCTAAAAGTAAACTATATGGTTTTGGTATTCAAAACTGTGAGCTGGAGTTGGTGGCCCGAAGTTTCAATTGTTTAGTTGGTTCTCTTCTATTTATGTATTTAGATCTTCATGTAGGTGCTTCTATGGAAAGAACAACATACTAGAATCTTATCATTGAAAGATTTCAGGAGAAATTATCAAAGTGGAAAGTAAAGACCTTGTCATTTGGGGGCGGTTAACCTTATGCAAAGCAATACTGAGCAGTCTTGGTTCTTTCTACTTCTCTATGTATAATGCTCCTATTAAGGTTATTAAAACTCTTGAAAAGATAAGGATGAGGTTCTTTTGGGGTGGTTGCATGGAATCAAGAAAAATGGAATGGATCGCTTGGGAAAAGATTCTTGCAGCTAAAGATAGAGGCGGACTTGGAATTGGTAGTTTAAAGGCGCAAAACTTAGCCCTAATAGGGAAATGGTGGTGGAGATTTAAGAATTTTCCTAATAGTATATGGGTTGGAGTGATTAAATCTATCTACTGATCTGATGGTGGTTTTTCCAAACCATCGACAGAAAAAAGACGAAGTGGAGGTTAGGGTATAATTGTTAATATTCCAATAACATTAGAGAAAGAAAATGTGACTTTTTGAACCATTTCCAGCTGATAACAAACGCAAATGGAACATCAAAATGGGCTTGGTCACTTGATCCATCTGGGGTCTATACTGTCTCATCGTTGAGAATTCATATCGACAGTCTGACCCTTCCTCATAGTGATGGTATCTGGTCCTGGAACCCACTAGTACCTGGGAAAATAAATGTTCTAGCTTGGTAAACATGTCATGGAAATTTGCCATCCATGGTTAATCTATTCAAACTTGGCATCAGTTCTTCTAACATGTGAAAGATGTGTAATGGAGCCCCAGAAACAGAAGGCCATATCTTTGTGGGATGCCCAGTATCAAGAGAAGTTTGGTTAAAAGTGCGAAAATGGTGGCGATTATTGGATTCCCCTCTCAACTCTTTTCGGGATATGCTAAAATGTAAAACAAGGCTTGGTGGTCATCAAAGGTTGCTAATGATTCATGAAAGCATAATGTTGGTCTTTATGTGGGTGATTTGGCGATATAAAAACGCTAAGGCCCATTCTCCAAGTTCAAAATCACATTTGGTGTTGGCATATGAGGTACAAACCCTTTCCCATTTATGGATCAATGCTCGGAAACGGAAATGACAATATCTAAGATGGTGTGAATGGAGTTGTGATCAATTTTAGCATGTTATATCAGGCTTTAATTTTCTTAGTTTCTTTTGTATTTGTTTCATCTTTTGTACTTCTCTATTTTGTACCTCCTAGCCCCTGGCTAGTTTTCTGTTTAATATTATGTCTGCCTGCCGTTCAAAAAAAAAACATTTAGAATGAAGTATTTCTCACAGAAAATGATTCCTAATCTTGGGTTGATGTTTTTCTTTTTTATTTCTTCAAGTTATGCATATGATATCATAATTATAAAAAAAATAATAATAATAATAAATAATAAAAAAAAACTATTTATAGTAATTTTCAAAGTATTTTTCTCAAAAAATACAAAACTTCAATTGTAATAATTATTTTTATTTTTTAAAAGTAATTTTATACAAAAAATTGTTTTCATATTACATAGATGGTGTTTTTGATTGTTTTTCAAAACAACTTATTTAAGTTGATTTAATATTTTTTAAAAGGTGAGTGACTCAAAAAATTGATTGTCAATCTTAAAAACATTTTTAAAATATAGACACATATTCGATGGGCCTCTTATTCTAAACGAAATAATCAGTTGGATAAAAAAGAATAAAAAGAAGTCATTCAATTTTAAAGTGGATTTCGAGAAGGCTTTTGATAGTCTTAGTTGGGAGTACCTAGACTCAATCTTTAAACAAATGGACTTTAGGGTTAAATGGCGAACATGGATCCAGGGATGCTTATCGTCAGTAAGGATCTTGGTGCTTATAAATGGTTCTGCAGCCTCGGAATTTTGTATGGGGCGTAGGTTAAGACAAGGTGACCCACTATCCCCATTCTTATTTATCATCGCAGTTGAAGGTCTTCATATTGCAATGGAAACGGCAAAGGAAAGGGTATATTTGAAGGCATCCAACTACCCCAACAAGGACCATTCATATCACATCTGCAATGTGCAGATGATGTAATTTTCACGGGTACTTGGTCGATTGAAAATGCAAAGAACCTGATCAGAATCCTGAGATGTTTTGAGCTATCATCGAGACTCAAGATAAATATGTCTAAAAGTAAACTATATGGTTTTGGTATTCAAAACTGTGAGCTGGAGTTGGTGGCCCGAAGTTTCAATTGTTTAATTGGTTCTCTTCTATTTATGTATTTAGATCTTCATGTAGGTGCTTCTATGGAAAGAACAACATACTAGAATCTTATCATTGAAAGATTTCAGGAGAAATTATCAAAGTGGAAAGTAAAGACCTTGTCATTTGGGGGCGGTTAACCTTATGCAAAGCAATACTGAGCAGCCTTGGTTCTTTCTACTTCTTTATGTGTAATGCTCCTATTAAGGTTATTAAAACTTTTGAAATGATAAGGATGAGGTTCTTTTGGGGTGGTTGCATGGAATCAAGAAAAATGGAATGGATCGCTTGGGAAAAGATTCTTGCAGCTAAAGATAGAGGCGGACTTGGAATTGGTAGTTTAAAGGCGCAAAACTTAGCCCTAATAGGGAAATGGTGGTGGAGATTTAAGAATTTTCCTAATAGTATATGGGTTGGAGTGATTAAATCTATCTACTGATCTGATGGTGGTTTTTCCAAACCATCGACAGAAAAAAGACGAAGTGGAGGTTAGGGTATAATTGTTAATATTCCAATAACATTAGAGAAAGAAAATGTGACTTTTTGAACCATTTCCAGCTGATAACAAACGCAAATGGAACATCAAAATGGGCTTGGTCACTTGATTCATCTGGGGTCTATACTGTCTCATCGTTGAGAATTCATATCGACAGTCTGACCCTTCCTCATAGTGATGGTATCTGGTCCTGGAACCCACTAGTACCTGGGAAAATAAATGTTCTAGCTTGGTAAACATGTCATGGAAATTTGCCATCCATGGTTAATCTATTCAAACTTGGCATCAGTTCTTCTATCCATGGTTAATCTATCCAAACGCCCTCGTAGTATTTAACATTTTTATCTTTGCAAACAAGATTTTGTAAATGAAAAACATTTTTTAACTAGTTAAAATACATATAGTCTGTATACTAAAATGATATAAAATATGTGTATGTATAAATTTTATAAAGATAAATCTTTATTTGATTAAAAAAATCAATTTTCTTTTAATTTATTTTTATTAGGCTTCTAATTAGACATAACAAACAGAATGTTTGATTAAATTCACTAGACATCTTATTATCAATATTTGGCTTTTGTTTCGATAAATGTTGTTTAATTTGAGCTGTGGGCAACATCGGCCGTTAAAAAGAAAGAAGAGGTTCCTTCTGTTTTTTGTCAGCATTTTGTTTTTATTGTTTGCTTGTCTTTTCAACCTTAGATTTACTT